AACAAGGAATCCTGTCCTAAGGACTTACATTCTAATGTTACAAGACAAGACAGAACATGCACAGAGACAAATTGATTCAGTGAAGTGCAAGTTTTGGATCTAAACTGGTCTTCTTCACTTTCCTGTTTTTTATGCGATCTTTACTATGTTAGGAACACTGAGATCATTAGTAATGCTGAAATGAGATTGCTAAAATGCCACAGAGGAAGTGGTAAATGAGTGAGTGGGTAAATCTAGTGTTAAGCATTTTCTGTTTTAGCAATAGAACTTTTGAAGTGTATTTTTGTTGATGGGTCTGACATTCATCCACTATCGTGAACTCTACTTTCATGCCTTCAGTTCTGTCTGGTTTCTGTAGGTTGCACTCTTTGTGCCTATGGGATACCACAGTTCCACCATCTCAGAAGGCATTGTACTTGGGGCTTTTTTTTTTTTTCCTTCTGTATTTTTGGTACCCATATCATCTTTTGGATAAACAGATACTAAATTAACTGTCAAATCTCACATGAGGAAGCCAACAGAACTACTAGCGCAGAAAAAAGTGGGCCATATCCTATTGTAAAAACTACTGATAGAAATTAAAATGGTGAGTGATGAATGTGAAAATGGTGAAACTCTCTGACACCCGGGCTAGAGTCAACTGCTCAGGTTAGGGGTTAATGTCACTGACTGACTCGGGAGCAGGGATTGATGTCACAGTCTTCAAAGTCACACTTGTCACTTTTGTTTAATTTCTGATAAACGCAGTCAATTAAATCTGTGTAGGTTTAAGAGTATCCAGTCCAGTTCTCAGACTGTTGCAAACCCAAGAGAGGGATGGGAAATTTTGTAGCTTTGTTATGAGAAGTATCTGTTCCTTTCCTCTTGTTTTAACTTATTAGTCTTTTTTCTTATCTAAGCCAAAAAAAAAAAAAATCAGTAATTGTATGGAAGAGAACTGTTTTACAGTCAGGCATGAGCTACCAAGAACTGTTATGTTTGCAGCTGCCTTACTGTTTCAAACTGACCCTGACCAAGCTGACCTCTCTGGACCCGGAGTCTTTGTGCCTCAATACCCGGTTAAACTCTACCCACACAAGTCATGAATGTATAGAGCATGCCAGTTTTCCTTCCCAGATGTGCATCTGATGATGTGTAAATTCATGATTCAGTTCTGCATGATTTTTTTATTTTTTAATTGGACATTGCTAAAGACTCTGACTCTGACTATTTAATGACACTACTAAAGCCTCTGACTATGGAAATCTGGAGTACTGAATTACAGTGGAAAAAATAGGGACAAATGGAGACAAGTATGTTTCCTAAGGAGAAATTTCCCTTGACCTGTAATGAATCTTAGTGTAATACAAATTATTCCAACTCACCTTGTAAATGATGTTCTTTGATGTACAGTTAGAGAAGCCTTGTGGCTCTGTCTTCATTTATCAGTGTTACGCTCACCAAGTGATTTTTGTTGCTTTTGTTACTGGTTTTGAGGAAGGAGGTTGGAAGAGGGAAAAATTTTGGAGAAAGTAATTTAATATACCACCTTACCTGGAAATTCTGGTTTTATCAGGGATTTTTCTCTTTCTCAATCTCCACAGCTCCTTCCGGTTCTTTTCTGAATCTGTTAGATTCTTTGGTTAAATGGTTAAAATATTTTAAAGTTATGTCCCAATTAACTGTGATTGTGATTCTTGGGACAACATCCAAGAAAGAGTTTTCCTTATACAAGCTGCTGAATTGGTACCTAGATTTTTCTATATTGAGATAATTTTATTTCCTAGTAAATTCTTTCTATCATAGCCAGCCTGCTTCAGCTAGTGATGCTCATAGCCCAAATTCTCCCTCAGCTGCTGCTCACTTCTCATATTGACCCCAGGTTGTCAAGCATGCCTATAGCATGTGTGACAGTCTTTCTGTACCATAAGAAGCACATGAAAATGAAAGGAGAGCCTAACACTTTATTAATCAAAATTAATACAGCTACTGCTGTTTGAATTCATACTGTACATATTACTGCAGTATACAGAGGATAATATAAATAGCAATGCAAACCTATCTCTATTGGAGACATGCACCACTCTATCAGTGGCAATTCAAACAATTCTTTTGACTTCATAAAAGCACAAAGTGTTTTTATTGGAACTTTCTTGTTGACTGCACATGCTGTTAAAATGCAAAAAAGGAGTGATAGCTGACTTGGTAACTGTCAGCTGTGTCACTGGAAACAGTCAGCTTTTGAATCAATCCATAATTTTCATGAATTTGACTAAAATTCAGATAATATACTGTAAAGAGGCATAATCATCTTAAACCTTCAGCCTTCACAGTAAAAGCTGGAACACAGCATGTGGGTTTCATACTAATGTTGTGCTCTTAAGATGTATAGCTGGATTTATTTAGCATAAGGACTACAGTATGTATTACCTCCTGTAAAACATAAGCAAGTTTGTTACAGTGACTCATAGTAAAACATGTTGATATGCTTACAAGTAATGTGTTGCCAAGTACAAAACTACATAGGGGTACATCCTAGTCGGCTTATTTATTCCTGGCTTAGGCAGAACTTGCAACAGGCAAGATGTTATCACAGGTTTGCTCAACCAACACCCAACTTTAGGGTGATTTTTTTTTTTTTTCCCCCTGGACAAAGACTTCAGAATCAAGCTATAATTTTGGGATGAAAAATAAAGTGATACATGAAATAAATGAGCATTAACTTAATGTAAAGACATTGAGAAAATGGACGGACCTTCAGCATTTATTAGCTAGCATAACGTGGAAATAAGCTTAGGTTTTATTTGGTAAGTCTTGATTTCTCCTTATATTCACTTACAGCTTCTTATTTATGGCTCAGCCTGTCAAACACATTCTTAGAGAAGCAACAGGACTAATCTAATTACCAGTTCTTTTTATAATAAATGCTGACACAAAGGTAGAAGGATGTATAGCACTTGTGTTGGAGCCAATACTACAGATGATCAAACAGTTTTGAAATTAAGAGTATTTTGGATGGAAAATGTGTCCCTTTTTTGTCACGATGTTCCTGTTTTTTGTCCTCTAATTAAAGCGGAAGAACAAGAGTGAAAAGCTGGTTACATTCATAACTCTGGCACATAACTGATTGCCAAGAGTTTAGGCTGGATATTTTAGCACTCTGCAGTAATGCTCCATAGGCATATTTACCTATGACAGGCTGAGGAATGCTAGAGCCCTAATTATTTGTAAAGTGCATTTTGAAAAGTTCTTGAATTATTCTTCAAGAACAAGCATATCAGAACACCTTCAAATTGTATTTTGAAGACATTTGAAAAGAAAACCAGTGTGACATGGGCTTGGCCAAACAGCATAGGCTGAGAACTAATTCTACCTTTTTTGAAAGGACAATCTTTGTGTCCTTGGCCTCAATTGAAATCACAAAACCATCATGTGTTCCGGCATTTCTAGCAACCTGCTCCAGAAATACCAACAAGCAATAGTATTTCTGAAAATTAGGATAGAGAAGCATTGGTGAACGCGATGCGAGTTCCAAATTTCCCTGGCTCTTAACTGTTAATAAGTAAATTTACTAAAAAAGAGGGGAGGAAAAAGTGAAATTCTTAAGATTAGCTTTTCTTTACCTCTAAGCACACATGAAATCAAACAAGTGGATTTAATTCGTTTTTTAAAAGTTCTTAAGTTTTATTCCTGAGCTGTTATGGAAGCCAGTCTCATTCCCTCTAAAATACATGGGAGGTCTGTCATTAATCTCCATAGAAACCTGTGCCAAATCTGAGTGTCTCATTGACCCATGTGCTCCCACTGTGAACCTAGACCAAGACACACGTGTGGATGAAGAATACATCGTTGTGTTTTGGGACCTTAATTGCCTTTCCATATCCTATTTAAAATTTTCCCCATTACTATGATGTCTGTAATGATGGTAAAAGTATAGTTAATTAAGTCCCTCATGACTGAGGACAGTAAAGTATAAAGCTGTCAGTACCCCCCCACTCCATGACTCAAATGATATTTTCTTTTTTCATCATTGGCAACTTCCCACGACCATGTATTTTCTGCTTCTTTTAAAGAACCAAATGCTGAATGTGAACGGGTAGCCGGAGCGTTGATTTGCCAAGTAATGGCAGGGTGTCCCCTGGAAACAGGCCTCTTTTAATTCTGTTTCATATCTGAGGTAAAGTAAAAACATGGAAACAGATGGTAGGGAACGACTAGCATCTCATCATGCATATTTCATTTGATTTGCAGCTAGTCGCCTCTTGATAATAATATTAAATGCTATAAAACTCAAAGACTTTGTTCCTGGGAATACTGCATTCAATGACATCGGATCAACACTGTAACTTCAATTAAATTTTGAAGCTGGTGAGCTATAAGTATTTACATCTTTAGCAAGGTTATGATACAAACAGCTCAATTCTTCTTTTCTGGTACATTTAGGGCTGACTTGCAAAGAAATATACAGTTGCTGTTGTGAATGACAAATCTTACTTAATGTTTTTTTAAGAGCACAATGGGACAAACATCTGTGGTTATTTCCATTACGCTCTAAGGCGTTTTACTGGGAGAGAATTTAGCCATTAGTTTTGTTGTATTTACATTATTTATATACAAGAAGAACAAGAAAAATGGTAGCCTGTTTAATGATTATATACATTGCAATTCGGTTGGGAAAATGTGTATTACAAATGGCAAAACAGCCTGTCAAGTACATACTTATATGTTGTTCTTTTTTTTTTTTTGTCAGAGAACTTTTAATTCCTAAAATCCCACTGTATGATCTCAGTGAAAGATCTGTCCTATACATTATACTGGGGGGGGGATGAAACAGCATAACAACAGACTTCTTAAACCACATCAGTTCCTGGTTAATAGCTCCTTTTCTTCATTTTAATATGAGGGTGTCCTGGTTTCGGCTGGGATACAGTTAATTGGAAAATGCTTACAAAGCAAATTAAAAGATGGAATCTGATACAACAAAACATTACTTGACATCAGGAGAAATAGTAATTTAAATTTCATTCATTGTCCCTAGCCTCAGAAGAGACACTGGGGAATAAAATATCACTCCCTTGTGACGCATTGCTTATCTGAGACTTTGTTTTTAGTAAGAACTGTGCTCTCCTGTACATTATTCTTTCCTGTTCTTGCTTTAGCTCAATGTAGGAGCGTGAAAACGTGTGGAAGATGGAGGTGACTGGAAATGCCATGAGGAGGATGCCACTCAGTATGCTGCTTAGTGCCACCACTTGGCCGGGAATGCTCCTGGGAACCATATCTCCGTAGCCTACCGTGGTCATGGTGATGACAGCCCACCAGTAGCACGCGGGGATGCTGGTAAACTCCTGCGAGTCCGCCATCTCGTTCTCAATGACATACAGGAGCGGTGCAAACAGTGCGATGGCCACGCAGAGGAAGAGCAGCAAGAGACCAAACTCCCGGGTGCACCTGCGAGCGGTCAGCCCCAGCGTCTGCAGCCCCAGGGAGTGCCTGGCCAGCCGCATGACGTAGAGAATCCTCAAGGCACGGAGAATACGGAGGACCAGACCTACTTTGTCCAGATAGATGTTCCCAGAGCTGGGCTTTTTATAGCCAACTGAAGTGGTGTCTACTAGCAAAGTGATGTAGTATGGCAGAATGGCTATTATGTCTATCAGAGTTAATGGTCTCCTCAAAAATGCAAACTTGCTCTTTGCCTGGATGAATCTTAGCAGGAACTCCAGGGAAAACCATGCCACACAGACAGACTCCACAATGAAAATATTGTAGCACATCTGGGAACACTCACCCTGCAGGAAAGAGGAGGAGTTTGTAATCGGCACTGGATAATAACTATTTTAGTTGGCATGGTGACAGGAAGAGAGGTTTCCGTGTTGTTTTTTTTAAACCCAAAATATTAAAGGAATCAAAGTTGTTGCTATGGGGAAACACATTGACAAACTGGAACAACTTAAATGCAAAACTTAGAAAAGAACTCCTTATTACACAGAAGACATTGCTCGGTAATTTCAGGCTTTCTAAATAGCAAATACAAAGCTTAACAAAGTAATATACAGTTGTACAGAAGAGTGCACACTAACAAAATTTTCTTTGGACATAAAACTTGATATGGTTAATTCTCTTACAAGTAATTAGACACAGTCATGTAAGATTTTGAATATTCTTTGTGTTATTTTCCCCCCTCTAAACACAGCTGCAAAATCCCCACCGAAATCAGTATCATCAGACTTTGTACTTGTTCTGCTCTTCCCAGCACATACCATTTTCCATCCTGAAAAGCTAACTTACCTTTTCCTCCTCCTCCCTCAGGTCAGGCATGGTGCTGATGGATAAGTTCACTGCTGTAATAGTTACAAATAAAACAGACAAACAAGCAAACACCTTTCCAGGGAGGCCAGACTGGGGCCTTTCCACCATGTCTTGCAACTTTTTCATGCACAAGCCAATTTTTGTTTCCTCTACTGTTTCACCTGTTGTTTCATTTTCTATGAGGTCATCCTCCCGTTCATTTATTTCTGTAAACTCCTCCATTTTTTGCAGGTATCTCCTTTTACAACACCAGTCCAAGTTGTCTTCCTCAATTCCCCAGTAGAGCAGCTCCTCTTGGAAAGACAGTGCACACATCTCACGCAAGAGCCGAAGTTTTCCAACCCGCAAAAAGGTCAGGATTGTCCTGAACGCCCCTGGGTTGCGGTCGAAAAAGAATTCATTACATGTCACATCGTAATCATCACAGATGTTTAGAATGTCGTCAAAATTGTTACAAAATTTTAGTTGTCCCAAACGTGTCAATGGGAATTCATCAAGCGTGGTCCATGGGAGCAAATACTTAATGCCCCCTACGTTTATAATAATATGATGCTTCCGATCATCGGGGTGAAAGCCTTTCAGGAGATCCTCTTGAGGGTGAATTAGCTTGGCTCTTTGGTAAAAGACTCCCTTAAGGGTTTCTGTTTCTGGAAAGAATGTGTGGTTGAAGGAAGTATCTGAAGCACAGCTCAGGGCACTATAGTCATAGTCGGAATTTTCTCCAGGTAGAAGAGTCATCTTGGAAGATAACTTCACATCACTTCGCTACTTCTGCAAGTGTCTTCTGGAACAAAAATCAGATATATGGGGTGAGTGAATGAGAGGTTGTTTTCAAGTTTGGAACAAATGTAGTGATTGGAGCTCAAAAACATTTATGGCTGATAAAAATAATTGGAAAGAAAACAGCAGTGGCTGACTATGGTGAGAAGACCTTTCTGGTGAGGCTGGGTTTGTCCAGCTGGGTAGAACTGACTCTGTCAAGGGTTGCTCCCTTGTTCAGGAGGTCTTTTCGCATATTTGTCACACTGGGGGACTTCTCCTGTCTCAGATACAGTGTCTCAGTTCCCAGTGGATATAGAGGGAAACCAGGAATAATTCCTGCATGTGGCAGGATATTCCTGGTTCAGAATGGAAGTATAAAAATTATGACAGTATCACATAAGAACACAGAATTCAAGTGTTTTTTGTAGAAAAGGAAATTGTATATTTTTATTTAACTATTACACATAAAAATCTTAAGTATTTTAGTATCCATGAAGTATATAGAAAGAATCAGAAGTCAATTTTGTTGCAGTTCAGTAAATACACACTTCTAAAAAACAGTTAGTACAAGACTAATTTCTAAAAGGCCACATGGAAACAATTTTGGGAAAAAAACCCCACTTAGATTGATGATCACATTAAATGTTTGTATAGAGTTTATATACATTTAATGACATGGCAACTTCCTTTTTACGGCCTCATTTACAAAAGATTGCAAAGAAATACATGATTTCTACACAAACATTGGAATATTATTTCAGTTACAACTGACACCCTATATGCAGTAATAGGTCTTTCTCCTTATAATGGATTGAACAGTAGCTGAGAGCCAAGGTGACTGCCTTCACCTCTGATTATAGGAAACCAAAAAATTCTTATGATGACTTTGAAAATCACATTCAAATTCTGCTCACACAACACTAGTGTAAAGTCTGTGGAGTGAAGTGGCCACAGAGCTCAAACGGGTATAAAAAGCAGGCACTGGAAATGTTAAACTTTTTGCCTCCCTAACTCACTGCATTTTAAAAGTCAGACTGAACGTCTGCTCATACACAGGAGGGTTGTACAGTACTGCTTGTAGATCTTCCATCTGTACAGTCAGCTACAGCTTAATGCGTGGAGTTGCTGAGTTTCATTTGATAAGAGTATTTATTTATTAAGTAGATTGTACAATAAATAGATATTAATTATGCACAAGTATTCTGACTTTCTAGCCTCGAGTTCACACAAAAGTAATAAATATTACACTTGATTGGCTTCAGTAGCAGTACATAGTTTTGTTCTTTTCCTGGCTGTACTTACCTCCCCTTTGATACGCACCCTGGGGATATATACCCCTGCTAGGGTGACTTCCTTAAACACAGAACTGTCGTTTTCAGAAGCTGGGGTTTATAAACCACATCAATAGTTTTACATACCTATTATAGAAGAAAAATCCATGAATATACAACAGCAAAGTACTCAAAACACAGCTGCACTTCAGTTTAAGAGCAACAGGCTTTCCTTGCTGCAAGGGGACTTACAATCCTGCTTTCAATAAAATACTATCTCAGTCCTGCTCCTAAACTTCCCAGAGGGATTACTCTGAACAGAGCAGTTCCTTACATACTCTTACAAGCAGGTGGCCCCAGGTGAGCTTTAGATGGAGTGGTATTTCCTAATTCCTCACCTGTAATCCTCTTCAGTACAAAAGGAAATCATTAACTAACTTACCCTTAGGGCATAAAGCCCTAAAGAAAGCCTACAGGAATATACAAAAATGGACAAGGCGTGATTCAGATCTTCCAAGAGCTGTGGTACTCCTTTCTGGCCTGAAGTAAGCGAAGCGGTAAGCTTTGTCATCTTGCTTCTATCACAAAGTGGGATCTCTATTACTATTGCTAGTGATTTGAGAACAGCTATTTGGCAAGTAACCTATTCTCCATGCCAAAATCTTAACTGTGTTTAGCTTTCAGTGCTTTATCACTACATACTTGCTTGTATTGCTGAGTTGCTCTGTCTTTGCTCCAGAGTTGACTCTGGAAATCCCCATGGCAGGGGATGGGCAATTTTCACCTCCTCTGGAAGTAACGGTGAGTGCAAACAATGACAAAATCCCACAGGCTCAATCCCACTCAAATAAACTTCCAATCGGTTTGTCTCTTGCCTCAAGAAAGACTGAGCGAAGGCCTGCTGACCCGAAAGTCTTTTTTTCAGAAAGACCATTAACACGAAACATAATTGTATTAAAAAGTCACATTCTAGGAAATTCTAGCCAATACTGGGATTATCAGTGGAGCTTCATGACAAATGATGGCACTCTGCCATTGCCCACTGGAAAAGCTGCAGGACTCAGATAAATGAAGGGATCTGAGGAGAGTGATAGCTGGCTCAGATAGTGCTAGCTAGAGCATGGTGAACAGAGAAAGTTTGGAATGGTTGAACTTGCAATTACCCGGACATACAGTCCCATCACATGAAGTACTCCTAATGACCTCAGAGCTGGTCGTCTGTTAAAGCATTCCCAAGACACCATCAGTAGAAATAATGCCACTGGGAGAGTTCAATATAGGTCTGATATGGAAAAACAGGGCTATCTGATGTATGTTTATGTAGGGCTCCTTTTCTTAGAGCGACTGTTGTTTTATTTAGAAACACGCTTTTTCCCCTCTGCCTCAACTATGTCTGAGGCAGAGCTGGCCCAAAGAGAATAAAGATTATGACCGATATAAGACTATGGATAAATGGGAGCTGTTAACCGTTTTCCTTTCTGTAATACCAGATGATGTTGGTTAGCAACAACTTATCCTCTGAATCTCAGCCAGGAAAAATGAGGAGGCAGCTCATCTCTGTCACTGGTTTGATCTCCTACCACATGCATTGTTGACACAATGGGAAGAAATGGGGAGAGGGAAATGTAAATGTTCTGCGTGTGTCAGACACATGTTGTAACCCTGAGGCACCAACTGTGAAACAACAGAGCAAAGAAAAAAGAATTTCTTTCTTCGCTTCCAGCTTCTCGACCTATGCGAGACAATAAATTGGACAAATTAATCCCCTGTGTAACACACAATGACTGCAGTTATAAAAGGTGGCTCCTTCTTTTTCCATAACCAGAACTGGCAAGCCCACAGATCCCAGGTAGGCAGCTACGGTATTTGACGCTGTACATGTGTTATTTACATGTTCTTTGCCTCAGATACACATAGCAGCATATCTAAGGGGGAAGAATAAGGAGGAAATAAGATGGTCTGACTTAAAGGAACAGAGGAAGGATTAAAATAAAGCCATACATTTCTGTGTATGTTTCTTGTTTTCCTTTGGAAGGTGCTTCTACAGAATGATGCTTTAAGATGGGAGAGATCTAATTAATGGAAGGGGTTTTTTTGCTATTGAGCTTAAAAAACACGCAAACTGTTTTTTGCTTGCAGACTGATGACATTGGGGATGGCTGTAAGAAATGCATTAGGCTTAAAGACAACACCCTGGAATGTAAGGTCAGACAAACACATTAGCCTATAGCCACAATTTTCTCAACAATTAAACAAGATGAACGTTCAGGATATGCTGTAACAGTAAAATCCTCAAATAAAACAGCTCTGGTTAAGTAAGGCCCAATGGTAAAATCCCTCCTTGTCTGAGATAGTATTCTGCCCTTTGAATGCTTGGGAGTTAGTGAAGCCCAGTTCATCTCTCCAGCTCTCCTGCTGATAACGTGTTCTCATCTCGGGCAAGTCACTTCTCTCTGAGCATCATTTCCTATTTTGTTTGTAAGCCTGCTGGGGCAAGAACGCTCTTTTACTACATTATACAATCCTGATCATTGTTCTAGCTTCTAGAAACAGAATACAAAATAACTGGCCCATAGCAAGGGCTCTTGGTGTCTCTAAATGGTGTGGTGTGCATGTAAAGCAAGATATAACATCTTTTCAAAAATCTGTCTCACACAAGATGATATTCTTATCCATTATGTCTGGTGAAGAAATCGAATTAGAAATCGCTACTCCCCTTACTTTCAGCAGAAATTCAGGAGGGGTGCCAGACTCCTAGACAATGGGGAGAGAATTATTAAAGATGCCCTTCTGAGGGAAAGAAATAGAAATCATGAGTAACATGCTAAAATTCCACTGCAAGTGTCATTTCCCCCCCCAGTGTCCTCTGCAGTATTTTGAATTCTGCAGTGCATCTCTGATGTAATCAGAGCTCCTGCAAGGAGTCCTGATACTGCTCTGTGATGCAGACAATTCAAAGTTGCGCCTGGATGATAACAAGCATGCAAGGAAGATGCATAACTCTCCCCTAGACTCTTCTATCAATTCCAGTGCCTGGAACTTGTCTCTGTTGCTTTTTACCATTTGTAAATTTAGTTTAAAAAAAAAAGTTTTAGATTTCAGTGCAAGGTGAATGAATACAGTGATTTTTTTCAAAGAATTCCATAAGAAACTGCTTTACAATTTAGTAATCCTTCCTCTTTTCTTCTTTCCTTAGTTAAAATAAACAGTATTTTCAAGCAGTGTTAAATTCGGCTATCTTCTGACACGATTTCCATACTGTATCAACACTGTCAGGGCACCCTCCTGAAATACTTTAAGCTATACTCATGCAGCTCTTTATGTAGTAAGAACCGATCTCAAACTTCAACTCTGCTTGCAAAGTGAACTTCCAAACAAATCAAAGTAAAACTTACGAAGATCAATGTATAATATGAAACAAAACTATCCTGAAAATCATATAATCTGAAAAAACATGCTCATATCTGTATATTGCTCTCCTCGATCTGGATAGTGTTATGCTTTTTGGCATCTTATGACAACCTACAAACTGAATTATGACAAATACGTTTGGTTTTATAAAGCTGAGCCTTATTCTGCCAATAATAATCAGAAGTGAAATAACTTTGCAGATAACTTATATCCCAAGGAGAATCTCCTGAAATACATTAGAACTAATAACTACAGTTATTATCCTGCTGTGAAATATATTTATGTCAACAAATT